CTTTCCCTCCTGCTAGCAACTCCCTTATCCTCAACTTTCCCTGCTTCCTTCTCTCTTTCCCACCACCCAACCTACCTTTTATGTTATTTACTTCATTTATACCCCACCATATTTCCACAATGGGGATTCAAAGCAACTTACATCATTTTTGATTTTATCCTCACAACAACTCTCTGAGGTAGGCTGACAATGTGTAACTAGCCAAAGGCCACCCAGTGAGCTTCCACAGCAGTGGTGATTTGAACCTTTCAGATCCTAGTCTGAAACTCTAATCACTAAACCACACTGGCTTTTGTGGGGTGGCTGTTGTTGAACAATAAGCAGCTGGGCCTGGGTGAGTCATGCAGGTTGCATAGTAGCAAGTCAACCAATGGTTGCTGGTGGGCCTTGCTCCAATGAATCCCTCCTCAAAAGCCAAAACTGCCCTGGAAAGCCCCCACCCAACAGAACCAAAGCTTGAAGGCTGGCAATATTGTGGTTGCCTAGCAACAGCCACTGAAGACATGTGTTTCTGAAAACTGCAGGTGGTTTTTAAGGTTTGTAGAAAATCTACCTTGTTTGCTCTTGGCTCCAGACTCTAGATTTAAGTAGCCACAGATTTGGCCACATTGAGAATTAGATATATTGAGGATGATGTTTGCAATCTCTCTGGATGTGTCATGAGATGGTTCCCCAAACTTCCAAGGAAGGTCACACAAGCAGCATATTCTAAATACTTCCTGCAAATTAAAATTCATGGCTACTTGGTAATCCACAGGATTCACCCTCCCCTGTGTTTTCATATGCTATGATCCCAGAAGCTTGGTACCATGTGACTTACTATCCTTCCAGTCCTGTTCTGTGTCTAAGGGCTCTGCTTTTGAATATGTGTGTGTGTTTAAATAATCAATGGGCCATTAAAATAGACATCCAACCTGGGTAGGAAGCAAGTCCATCTGCCCTTGGATCTCTGATTCTCTCACTTGACACTCAGTATGGTAGACATGGGCATGGCACCTTTGGATCAACAGCCTTTGGGCTCAAACAGAAATGTTAAAATACCATTTTTAAAATAAAAAAGCTTGTATTCTGAACATGTTATGAGAGGAATCCCAGTCAATATTTTGAGGAGTTTTTTCAAAGATCTCAGCTAAAGATGATCTCAAAACAGGTGTTTGAAAATTGACCTGGTTGAATATTGGATTTCTGTTGAGTCAGGCACCTCACAATAACTTGATTTCCTCCAATTCATTTTGTATCTCTGGTGGCAGCATATTCAGCAAGTCGGCTGGGCCAAGTAGCCGGTGTTGGTGTCTACTCACCAATTTTTAGGGGCTTGTCGAGATCACTTATGCTGCAGCATTATTTTGGGGGCGAACCAATACGAATTAAAATCTGCTCATTTAATATTGTATGTACTGCCCATGCGGTTGGTGGCACTCACTGAGTTGGCGCATGCTCAACATTTACTGAATCAAGCTGCCGTTCTCAGGTGGTACTACGATAATGCAGATATGCTCTGCTCTGTCTTCTTGGTGCTTGGGGGGGTCAACAGTGGGAGGGCTTCTAATGTCCTGGCCCCACTGGTGGACCTCCTGATGGCACCTGGTATTTCTGGCCACTGTGTGACACAGAGTGTTGGACTGGATGGGCCTTTGGCCTGATCCAACATTGGTGTCTCTTATGTTCTTATATGCAGTCCAATTCATTAATGAACCTTCAGCTTTTGGGTGAGTAACCAAAATAGGGCTGGAACATTAGAAAAACAAGCCACCGCTGCCCCCACCCAGCTACTACAAGTATTCAGATAACCAGAGATAGACCCTATTCTATGAGTTATTTTTTTTTCTGGTGCATTAGGTGGACAGATGCTGGAAAGGGAGACCTGAGTATGCGCAATGTATTTGCAGTCAGCCGTGAATGTTCCCGCGAATGAACACTTGGGTAGCTGGGTAAATGGGACAAGGCTAGAACAGAGAGACAAGCTATGCCGCTGTCCCCCACCACCTCCTCGGTAGGATAGAAACACTTCTTTGATTTTTCAACGTTTTAACAAACATGATAGATTGGGAGAGGAAAAGCAAAGGATTTTTAATCCAATTTCAGACATCTGAGAAACACACACACACACACCCAAGACCAAAGGTGCTGCTCTCGATTTGCAAACACCTCGCAATCCGACCAGAGGAGTAGATCAAGGCTTCCTAACCTTAAGAGGATTTTGACTACATTTCTTGAAGGCATGGCGTGGGTCCATTTGAGAAAAGGCGAAATAACTTGAAAGCAGCACGTGTGACCGTGAGAAGAATGATGCTTTAAGTGCAATGGAGAGGTGTGGGAGCCGGAAGAAACCGATTGGCGTGTTCACATCCCTTGGAGGATGGCTTAGCTCATGCATGGAGAGGGGCTGGCCACCAGAGGGTGCTAGCTAGTTTTCAAACAAAGGAGAATTGGGAAAGCCGGTGTTGGACTTGGAACCTGGGTTCAAGTCCCTCAGAAAGCAAATTAGGTGATCTTCTGCACGTTAACTATTTGACAGATTACTGTTCAATGCCAATTTGTGTGTGTGACAGATTACTGTTTCTCACAGGGTTTGTGTGAGAAGCCAATGGGACAGGCCTACATCTGCTTCCCAGAACTCTAGGGGCGGGGGGGAAGGGTTGAGATACGGTAGAGCTGGATGCAAAATGTGTGAGTCAATATGCAGTAGAGGCAATCCGGAGCTGGGCTGAATCTATGGATCTGCCTTTCATAATGAGGCTACCTCGGCAGTGCATCTGCTCCAGGATCTCAGGCAAAGTCAAGTTTCCCCCAAGACTTGCTGCCTTTCAGTGGAAGAGTTCCAGGGGAAAAAAGTGGGCTCCCCAACCCCATTTAAACCATGTGTGCTACCACTGAGCCACAGGCCCAGGGAATGTTAGGGGATTGTGAAGTAGGGCAGATAGGGGAAGGAGGTTACTGAGATGCTGCAGGTCGAACACAAAAAAGATACACACTTTGTCCAGTCCGAGAAAGACCTCTTTGCACTTGCAATGCACGCTTTCAATGCACAGTCATGACTGAACCCAGCAGAGCCAGCTTGAATTTATTTCCCAGGGATTAATGCAGAGAGAAGATAAGTGTAGGATCTTGCCTGTCTTGGCAACTGGGTTTCTGGCTGCAGTATCTCAGCATGAGTTGAGGTCCTTTGTGGTGGTGGGGGGGGGGAGCCGTCAAGTCTCCTTGTGGCGCTGGCGTCAGTTGTTAGGCTGTGCGGTTGACTTCACGCTACAAAGCCG